TCTAGGACACTAACCACCTAGCACTGTTCTCCAAGCCTTTCATATAAGGTATCCTGGTGAAAACATGTCGATAGCTCTTGAAAGGTTGATTTCAGGATCCGGCCGCGCTGTTTGTTGAGCCACTTCTTCAATGAGATGTGTCGCCTTGCCTGGAATTGATCCTCCCGCATACCACCACTCCCAGCCACTTTAGATAACTGCATCGTTGCAAACGACAGACACATTTATCAAGTCATCAATCATTGCCTTAATGGGCACGACATGCCTTTTTTTGCCATCGCTCACTCAGAGCCCCCTCACTTCCGCCGCCGCCGCAGGCATCTCCTCGTTTCCCCCTCGCAGACACAGTGAGTGACGGCATTGATCTCCTCTACAGAGTTAGATCCTATACGGCACACGCATCGATCACTGAGTAGATCCTGTCTTTGATACCGCCACCGATCCCTTTTCTCGAAGCCTGCCATCGCCTACTCCATCCTCCGACGTCGCTGTTCTCTCATGCCAACGCAAGAAGCATGATCACTCAGCTTCGACCGAAGACTATGGTGGCTACCTCACAGGTTTTCTCGTCTAATCAAATTGAGCTTTGATGAAGAGTTTGCCATCCCCGGAAAACACAATATCCGCGACTCTCCCGACATACTTGACAGAACTAGAATCTTTGCGCTTCTCTACCAGAAGCACCGTAGTCAACTCACCACCGACGGCTGCCAGCAAGTCGTATTTATCAACCTATACGCTGCAGACGGCACTCAAAGACGCCGAAGGAGTTATCGTGTCTTGGTGGCGCAGATGGCAATGGTAGTCCTTGAGCGACTTCATAACGAAAAGGCAGTTCCCATAGGGCATGAAGCTCCTCAAACGATTTGATGCAAATCACGCATTAGAAGGGGAAGAGGGGTACTCGATGGTCCCGGTGGCGAACAATAACAAACTATCCTGGCAGTGATTCCAACGCAGCAGCACATCTTGGTCGCCTTGCTGAATCACCTCGCTCAGCCTGGACGAAAACCGCGGACCGGCAACAAGCCTATCGTTCAGCATGAAGACACGCAAAAAGGAGTTGAAATACTTTTATTTGTCGGCACCATAGATCTCTCCCATGATTGCCAATGTCTCAAATGTACGTTGGGAACTGGAAACCAAGCCAACACGGAAAGGAGCACAACGAGCCAAAGTGTACCCTTTCTCAAAGCCCATATCACGAACCCAAGGGTCAAGAAATACCGCGGACGTCCACCAAAGAACAGTCCGGTTGCTTGGAGTGACGCATACGTGAACTACAAGCAGAGTGACTTCAACGGCTGGTGTTGCTTTCCAGATATAACCGACAGCTCAACCGCCGCTCCAGCAAAGATGACTCATCGTTCACCGATTCAATGACACTTCAGACAAAGAAATACGCGCTGGCAGATCGCGACGGAAGTGCCTTAGTCTGAAGACGGTAGTATGAAGCCAACCTTCGTCGTACTTCGCCACTCCTCCCTCATGCTTCTGGTTCCAGCTGACTCTTGTTTCGTACGAACCATCTTCTTCGTCTTTCATTTCCCCCCCCCCCCGATAAGGGAGCGGGACATCAAATCTTGTAAAGTTTGAAGCTGGCAATGTCCACGGAACCGTCTTTTCTCTGTTTCCATTCATTCTAGTAAATGCAAGCCTCAAGACCTGAATTGGAAAGTAGAAGGGTGCGGGTTGTTTGGCAAAACGAGTACACACAAAGGTAAAGATGACAGTATCCCTTGCCTTGGACCGGTAAATCTCGACACACCAAGTGCGATATGTGTTTAGAATTAATTGGCGATGGTTGGGCCACGGCTTAGATGTTTAACGCGCAGTTTTACTCGGTCTTCCGGCACATGCGACATTTACTCACCAAACATGCTTAATGCTCTTCTTCATGGATTAGCTTTCCTTCGTAACTACGTCCAGTGCGCGCTCCTTGATGATTCCTCGGCATCCAGAACTGCAAAAGTCCGAGGTTCAACCAGTGCGTCGCGGAGATCAGCTTACCTAGAACTTCGCTGCGACGGTTCTCTAGTTCAGCACGGAGTTCGGCCAGTCATTCGCGTTGACTTGATCGCTCGACATCGCCGGCACGATGCCTCGGTGATTGGCTCTCGAGACAGGCCTCGGCTCGAGTCCAGGGTTGACGCGTCACGCCGGGGCACGATGCTTCCTTCCTATAATCAAACGGATCATGAAAGCTTCGCACGGCCATTCCCTGCTCATACTCCCCTTGCCCACTTGTTGCCATGTAAAAAAAACGGACAAGGGTAAAGAGACCAACGATAGTTTGTGCAGAGCAAGCTAGATTACCCCCCCAAACCTTGCAAAGATGCTTCTGGGAAAGCAACCAAGATGTGACAGGAGACGGCATGTCTGCCGGTGTCAGTCTCTCTTATATCAATCTCGCTCCCATTCTGACTTCCCATCAGTATTCATCGCGGCTTGTTTGATTTGTCTTGGGAATACATTCGCGTACAGCTTGAAGAAGATATGTCTGACAATGAGCACCGAAGCGGAGCATTGTGCCAGCAGTGAAGTTGATGAGTCAAGCCTATCAAGCTGCATCGGTCCACTTTCCACAACATGAATTGGCTGGTATTGAGACGCTCAGATGAGTAGAGCCACCGCTTAACCTTTAGATGAGAGCTTAATGCGAGATTGACCCCCAAACGTCACCCGTTGGGGCTTCAGTGAACTTCCAAACTTTCCGCTCATACCATAGCATAGCCAGTATTCCCTGCTAGACCGCCTCGCTGACCATTTATCGCCTTAGGAGTTTTGAGATCACCAAGCCCGGCGATGGGAAATCTACTGGTTTGCCGAGGCCAACTTACTTACTATAGACTTGCACCGTGAGACGTTAGAAGCAGATGTGACTTACCATCGTTCCAGCTTCATGCGTGCCCTGAACAAAGATCCCGTTGCCCCTATTCACCAAGAGCTCAGTAATGAAGTCTGGCTTGATAAACCCACCTGTTCCGCTACGTTGCTTCAGAGTCTTCCCCAGGGCTGCAAGCCAGATGGCGATGTCAAGCTCCGGCTGGGTCTGATACTCTATCCGCGATTCCATTTCGATAGTCGATAGTTTTGGTCGATGGTTCAAAGGCGGGGAGTCAGTATGATTGACTGGGGAGAGTGCTCTAGAAAGCACTTGAACTCTTTGATGAACGTCTGGAGATGGGTTGCTTGAGGGATTCATCGCAAAAGAAGCAGTGGTGGGAATCTATTCGGGAATGAGGCACGACATTATGCTTATAATTATCACATCAGTTCAGTGCACTCATGTGGACGAATGCTTCCATAATTCCATGGTCGAGTGGAGGGAACTTAGACTCAAGAGGCAACTAATGTACCCATGACATCGAGAAAAACATTTGCTCAAATGCCTCGTCAGAGGAGGAGTGTCCCCAGTTCAGCCTCGACTAGTTCTATAGGGTCATGTCCTCCTAGCCTTCACCCGTTTCGTGAATGACTGGTCGGAAAAGTCGGCAATCGGGGGACTTCAAGATTCGAGCATCAAGAGTGAACTACCCAGCAACAGTTCTGTCAGAGACGAAGCGTTTGGCCAGGCGTGAACGTGACTCTAGAACTTGAAGTCGTGGTCGATTGCAGCTTCCTTTTCGGCGCTCAGATACAACATCCCTAGCCTTGATCTTGGCCATTTCAAGCCTCATCTCGACAAACGATGATGATGTGCAATCCGCCGCATTATGCAGGACTCTCGTGACGATCCGTTGGATGCCAATACTAACTCCAACACATTGTTGCCCCGACCAGAGCTTAAACACAATGCGGTTGAACTCATACTTAAGGACTTCATGTTTGAAGAAGCCCCGGGAGTGCGGCACTGGTGACTGGTCACGATCGTGCTATCTTTGGCTTGTATGCATGACGCTTCTCACGCTCATTTCCCGTCGTCTGCATAGCTCGTTAAGTCGGCATCTCGCAATTCCGTTAAGCTTTTCCAAGTAGCGACCGGCGCATCTTATGACATATGCTCGAGAAAGTCTTGGGGGGGCCGGGCGGGATGGTATTTAATCAGCTGAGCAGAATTCCGCGGAGTACCACTTCGGGCGATCTCATTGATTGCGGAGCGTCAATTCGAATGTGATCAACCCACTGGCGACGGTGAATCTTGATGTCGCTGGAAGGCATCACTTCCATCCGTAGATACCTAAGGTCTAGTCTGCAGGCGATGTGGACGTGGCGCCAGCAAACCTGCCCGCAACCGCCCCGGGCGGGGGGCGCTGGGGCGGATTTGGGCAGCTGTCAGCCACTGTTACTTGGTCAAAGCTGCCACCCGACGCCCCCGCCTGCCTGCAATCGCCCCTGGTGGGGGGCGCCCACCTAGGTACCCACAGGAAGGGGCGGCCCGGGGCCACAGCTGCCACTCTGCCACTCAACTGGGCCCAACCTCGCCCGCAATCGCCCCTGGCGGGGGGCGCCAGGGCGGGTTTGCGCACCCAGCACCTCCGGTCGCATTCCGCGTTGCTGCAAAAGTCGCCAAAAAAAAACAAAAAAAACAACTCACATCGCAATCATCCATAAAATTGCAATGCAATTATCATTCCTCAACAGGACCCAGTTTAGATCAGAATTTAACCTAGTCAAGGCCGGGGCAGAGCGGGATAACAAGGTATACAGCTATGCCGGCAGTAATTAAACCGCGATCCCGATCGGCTAACAAAGGCCCGGGCGGCCTGGTCCGGTGTGGGCCTCGGCTCGATCCCGTCCCAAGTCCGGACTTGAAAGAAAAGGTGGATTCAGCATCGGTTGAGTATGCATGGGCAAATGAAGCGGCAGTATGTACACAGTTTTCCGTGTATCCATTCAACCCAAATGCGTCCTCAAGGGTCTTGGCATCGCTCAAGATACTCCCATGTTTTAGGTAGTAGAGCGGCACACCGAAGCCCGCTTCCAACGAATCACGCTGCCGGTGTAGAGAGTTTCAGGGCAACTGCCTCAGAGCTTCACAGAATAACAAGTTAGATTAATCATGACTCCATCAGTTCTATCATGTCCTTTGGCACTGATTGTACACTCCAGGGCATAGAGTATAAAGGGTGCGACTGCAGCGTCTTGTTATAGACGAATGAAGCGGATTCTCCGTCGAGTGACGCAGACGCTGGTGATGGCGGAGAGTCATCTCCTGGCGACCCCACGTCTTCTAGCTTGATGCCATTCTCAGTTTCGATGATTTCCTTCGCCACTGCAAGTAGAGCGTCCCTTTCCCAGAGGTTCTCTCTTGGCAATCCAAATAGTCGCATGTATCTCATCAACTCGAGTCGCACTTCCAGACAGGAGCATGCGGACATGAAATAAAACAGAACAGCCGTGAACCCCATTTCGAACGTGAACTGCGGGGCTTTGGGACCTTGGCCGTTGTCTTTGGAAGTCTCTGGCATGTGAGACTCAAGCCATCGTAGTTGCTTGAGGACCCTCCGGCAATTGGGCAGAAACCTGTCCTTGGAGCTGGGTGTGTTCCCATCCAGGGCCATGTCCGCCCAGATCCAACCGGCCTCATAGAGGGCTAACAAGTATACTTGCTGCTTCTTCTTTCGATAGTCTTGCTCGGCGGTGAAGCGTTTCCCACTCGCCGCTTCGTCACGCCGGATCCTCGTGATGAGCTCGGCAAAAAGCCTAAGCCAATCGTCTAACAGACATTTGATGGTGGCCTGTTCGGCACGATGTTCTTTAGCATCGGGAGAGTCTCTGCTGCTCCCGCGTTGACGACGATCGGGTTGCGACGCCGTCTCGGCAATCACGAGGCCCAAATGCGAAACCCGAGCCATGATGACATCGAACATGCGCTGGGCATCGTCCACTGTTGAGAACGAGCGCGGAGAGGGCTCAAGCAGCTCGGGCATGTCCAAGAAGGTGGCGTCGTTGTCGCTGAAGTAAAAGGCAGAGATGCTCACCCGTCGGAAGATGGGCAGTAAATACTCCTTCATCCACGCGTGCCCCGGCCCGGCAGCCTTGAGTATTTCGAGGCCGTGTCGGCTGTGCCTGACGGCCGACTGAATGTCCGAGCGCAGAGCCTCTATGCAGATGAAAAGAATGCAGACGATAAGCACGACGAGTTGCTTGTCCTCCGAGTCCTTGGCCCTCAGCTCCCGGATGGCGGCGTTGTAGTGGTGCAAGACCCGTCTTTGGTCGCCATTTTGCAGCGTTGAAGCGGCATCGAGTGGACCTTGCGCTTGCTCGAAGAGGCTGCTTATCGCAACGAGGGCGTGCTTGACGGCAGGTTCGTACGCACTGAACTGCATGACAAGGTGTGTCCAGAAGTAAGGGTCCACGTAGCCGGACATGGCGGGCCCGGCTGCCTCGCAGAAGTACTGTAGAGCCCGACCCTCCCTACGGGTGTCTATGCCGGGGAAGACATCGTTTGGCTGGTGGAGGGAACCGGAAACCTGGGAAGCCGACTCCGCCGAGCCGGCAGCCTGGCTTCTGTAGCCATCGCAGACGCGGCCCGTCGCGGTGCAGCGGTAGCAAGTTGGCCTGGCCTCGTCGCACTTGACCTTGCGCAGTCTGAAGGTCTGTCAGCTTCCATTTGGAAGAGATGTGCCGGCCGTGCTGCACGCGCGCGCGGGGGCCTCGACACGGTCTGCTGCAGCCGAGATTGCTAACTCACTTGCAGGTAACGCATCCCGTCCTGACCTTGCGACTTCCCTTGCGGGGCATGATTCCATTGCGTTTGATGAAAACGTATGGTAGGCCACAATCCACCCACTTCTTTCTGCTGTCTCAACTTGAAATGACCGTGGGTTCGTGTTGAGGTCGTCTTGATAAAGCGCGATAATTGGCTGCCTAGAGAGGAGAAAAAAAGGGTGTTTCAGGCAGCGAGAAAGCGCCCATCTGATCGAGACGTGGGGATGATTTTGAAAAGACGGTGTGGGCCGGCAGGGGTGAGTCCGAGCCAGCCAATGTTGTTGAAGATGTCAGCAACATCCTTGCTCACGCACCAACACTGGTCAAGATACCGGCAAGAAACCCACGAGCTAGAGGCTTATTAAGCTGTACAGATTTTCTTTCCTCTTAGATAGCTAACGTGGATACTTGAAGCCGGGATCGCATTGTTGCAAGACTGAGTGGTGTTTTTGAAGCCTAAAGTCGGTGCCAGCGAGCGACTGGGCGCCGGGCTGCGGTACAAAGCAGCCCCAGTTCTCCCCATCCCGGACCCACTTCAGATCAACAACAAAATTCGTCATTGGTCTAAAAAAAACCTGGACCTCTGCTGATTGGCTTCGATTCCACATAAGAAGAACTGTTGACTTTACTCACGCAGCATGAACCTCGAACATCGTCAATCTATTGAGAAGGTCATGAAAGCACCGGAACCACACATGAACTCCTGAGCAGTGTGCATACACCCTGTTTCTAAACTGCCAGACAAGAAGGCTGGCGATGGCCCACGACAAGCATCCTTGACGATTCTAAAGACGATGAGACGCAATTGGTGTTGCATCCTCGTAGTCGTTGGAAAGCATCGAGATTGGGAAATTTGAACGGTTGCAGATACCAAGTTTATTACTTGCAATGATGTATAGATGATCCATGACTCTAAAGAACGGTGGTGTTGAGACCGTGTCTGATGGAGTGGATCGATAACCCAGCGTCTTCCTGACTTTCACGATATTTAGGCCACTGCTTAAAATGACATTGGATATCCATGATGCTTTTTGTCCCATTTACGCCTACTCTATTCACTTACGTTGGGTAGGCAATGTCATCGACAGCTTGACATTCCTCTGGTTAGGTACCTGCCTCCATCGATCTTGCTCGTTCGAAGTTCCCAACAAGACTGCCGGTGCAGGTGCGGCCGATTCGGGGTGAAAGACGTCGGGTGCTTCTGATCATCCAGTCAAAGTGCAAGTGCTCGTGACGCAGCCGGTGGCTTAAAATGGCAAGACCGGCCAGACCAGGCTCCAGCTGGAACCGAAGATTTCGATCAGGAACGTCGTTGTCAGCCGAGCCATACCTTCCCAGTTTCTGATCGGTTCTCGTTGGTGATCCCCAGGCTTTAGAGTTCTGTCTTCTCGACGCCCGGTCTCGAAGGCTTGGACAAAAGAAAAGGCCGTCTGTCGACTATATATTTCTCTCGCCATTAAATTTCTACCCGCACCATAAGCTAACCTCAAATACCCATTTTTGCAGTACCGATCAATGTTGCCGGATAACTCCATAAATCCATTGCGTGGAAGTAGCTCCAGCTCCAGCGTCGACGATGGCTGCCAGCGATTGAGTTATGCACCCGCTACTTCTTCCTACTCATCCGCTTTGAGGGACCCTTTATCCACCCGCCGTCGCCGATGACTATGCAGAAGAGGTAAGTGCTCTGTTTTCTGGTGTCCATCGCTGCCGAGGCAGCTTTCTACTGATACTGGATGCTCCCTTCTCATTGCAGACTCGAGAACACCTCAAGCACTCGAGCTCTCGACGTTATCGGAAGTCCAAGATGTTTGATGCGATCTATTGTACGAAGATTCCTTTCCCTCGGGAACGGGACAAAGCATCCCTTAAACCAAGCCGACCCTCGGCCCTCCGGGTGCGTGGACGTCTTGTTCCTTCTATGCCTTGGATTACGTACGAAAGCCGTGCCACCATCCGCACCTGCCTCGGCCCCTCCCGCAAGTCTGCCTCCACTTTCCGCCCCGGCCTTTTTGCTCGGGAGATGTTCAAACCCGCCGCTTTCACTTCCTTCAACTTCTCGCCGATACAACGTCGCCCACGCCGTCCCCGCCAGCCCAAGCGCTTCCGTCAGACAGGACAATCTCGTTTCATCCTCCTCGCGACGTCGATTTCCTTCGGAGTGAATATTCTTTTCGATGCTGCCCGCGCGACGCCGTTGCCGGATGCAAGCCCTCGAACTCGCAAGAGCAATGCCGTAAAGTTGTTTTGCGACGCACCTTCCGCGCACTCCGATACCAGCTTCAAGAGGTCTTTTTTTGGACCGAAGAGGTTTCGGGGAGAGGCCTTTACCAGCCAACTCAGCGCCGCCAAGTTTCTTCCAGCGCGCAATCGTGCCTCCAATTGCCGATTACCATACCCCAAATCCTTCGCACAACTGCAGCGATTGTCCGTTTCCTGGCCTCATAAAATCTCAAAAACTTCTTTCTCAACAATCATCTGTCCTTAGAACAAGATCAAGAAGTCGATTCCGTCCGGTCTTCACCAATCCAGCCCGAATACTAAGCCACGAACTCGAGACCAACCCCGCCGCCAAAGATGTTCGCAACTTATTCTTCCCGCTTCATGCCGCAGCCAACGACGCCTCCGCAGACCACGTCGCAACACTCTAGTAGTAAATTGCCTTCTAATCGCATTATCCGTTGGAATACTGAGGACTAACATCTGTTTTAGATCATTCAAGTCGGGCATCCAGGAGTATGGACGAAGCCTAGTTAGCCCAACCTCGCTCTCGATCAGAATCTCCCTACGCCCCCATTGCGTACATCGAGCTACAAAAGCATTTGGCCCGCATCCGAGAAGAAGAGCAGATTGAAGAGGAGGCGTTAATAGAAACGATTGAGCCATCGACCAGGCAACTATACTCTGTTCCGCCTTCATCTCAAGACTCGGTCTTCGAACTCAACCTCTCCGAAAGACCTATCACCCTCGGTGGTTTCTGCACATGGGTTTGGGGCAGGGTGAAATGGATTGTGCGATGGGTAACTTCCACACCCGAGCCCAGTACCGGGCTGGAGATCGGGCTTGGAGGCCTGGTTTGAGTGGACGGACAACAGAGAAGTAAGGGAATCGATCAAACAATGGTTGGAAAGCTGTGGGTGTTGAAATGAATCATGAAGGATTCTGTCAATCATCAACATCGCCGTCAAGATGGGTCGTAACTTGAGAAAGTGCCCGACCATCGGCACGCTGCCAATGACGCCTTGCGACGCCTGTCCCCGACAGCCCCGATATCTTCTCACATCCCATATTCCTCGACTCATGTCTATTCTATACGTACGAGCATGTTTGGTTTCACTCACGCAACACTTTACATGCCGAGACAGATAGTCAGCGGTCGATACTCGTCCACAATTCGAGCAGCGTTTCACCCACTAAAAAATCCGTTTTCCATCGCGAGAGTGGTTTTCTTGTACATCTGTGACGCAGACTGCCGATAGGAAAGCCGCTCCACTGCAAAGAGTTCCCTCGCAAAGCCATGACCATGGGTAGTTCGTTGATCTCACCACCATCGAGGATGGAAACGGGGGAAGGGCCTGCATTCCCGAACACTACAAGTTGAAGGTATTGCTAATGTTTGCCCATGGCGACACCTGAACGCGTATTGGGGACGTCATTCTGCGACGATGACTTGCGTCTCAAGTCCTCTTTACGGTCTCTGAATGTCAGATGAACAGACTCATCAGCCTCTGGGAAACGACAAAAGTCATGCCGCCCAAGGTCTGCTGGTCAGAACTCGGCACGGCCTCTCCCGCAGAGGCATCTGCTTCAAAAGAAGGTCGGCAGGGGTTGAATACCACTTCGGCCGTTTTGACGCATCCAAGGCACACGCTGACTGCAACAACGGTCAGAGTAGCAGGTCTAATGCAGTGCCCTTCGGCAGGTTTCAGAGGCTGGGTTCCAAGGACGAAGAGCAATCCCGAAGAGAAAGGTAGGAGTCCTCAGACGCCCGTGGTACGTATGCTGGAGCAAGATTAACGTGAATAGCAACACGAGTAAAGACAGTCAAAAGGTAGACCGTTGCAGGGGATGGCCGGCTTACCGCACGAAGCCGATTCCGTGTGGGGCCGACCCCGGGTTTGTGGGGCCGGCGTCTGCGCCTGTCAGAGGAAAATCAACCGTCTCAGGGGTATTTCCAGGATCAATCAGTCCCCCAGCGTGTAAGGTATATCGTTTCAAACGATAGATGGGCAACAAATCAGGGTTCTCACGCTAAATCATAAAAAAACGTAGAAACATTGAGTGCAAAAGCAGGGAGGGTGCCTGAATAGACTTGGGATGATGGCTTGCGGGCACGCCCGGGCTTGAGTACTAGCCTATGCCGTACAGCGTTCGCCGGCAGTGGCGTAGACGGCAAAAAAACATACAACACCAGGTATTCGCTGGTCGTCACCGACCCAACTACTAATCCGGCCCTCATTGGCTTATCTATGGGAGAGCGGACGGGATCCCGAGTTTTCCAATGGGTATGGTCGTATGTGGCAGAACATCGTCACAATTTTGCTCATAGTCACTGGAATGCAGGAGCTACAAGATCATGGCGGCGGTGGTGGTGGCATTGATTAATCGCCAGTGGGTCCTTGTGTAAGGGAGAGGGCGGCTGCAAGATCATGTTCTGGCAGGAGCTCCTGCTCGCCGGCAGAATTGTTTCAATGAGGTCTATTGGATATTCTGGACGGGGATGCACAACGGTGACGAACAAACCCCCGAAATGTCACCGAGGTATAGTGGGCGCGAGAGTTGTCACCGTCGCTTTTGGACCTCGATGTTACGGTATTGACATGTAATGTGCGCCGACCCTCATAGAATCCGACATGACCCTTCTGAATTGAAGACCTGAAGTCCACCTGCTCTGAAAGCTTGGGAAATCATTAAGAGTTGATGTGAGGGCTTGAAGGAGTTTACGTCCAGTCGCGGTTGCGGTGGCTGACGCCGGAGCTGGCTCCGGTGCACGATCCAGCTCTACGTCATCACCGATCAGTCCATCCACCCTGAGACCTTGGGAAAAGATTGACACACTGCGAAAGAAGCAACCAACAATGCCGTGGATGAAAGGAGAAACGTTGGCAAAGTGGTAATGTCTTGAGAATGAATGGTTTCATTTTTCTCGCCTATCTACTTTGCTGGCGGCTTGATTGCAACTTTCCATATTTTGATTTCAGACAAGGACTTTGCCAACAAGTCCCGGCTGATTGAGATCAGGTAGAGAGTCCTCAACATGATTGTTCATCTTCGCTGTCTCTAATTTCGACGGCCCAATGGACTTTATTCGCGACCTTGTTACTGTTGCGTCGCTCTGGTCACTTTCTCGCAGCTCTTTTACGCTCCCAATGGCGACATTTCCACCCCAGCAAGGACTATCGCGCCGTAACAGATTCGACTGGCGCCTGCCACAAATTCGTTGTAGCGGCGCAAGAGTTCACACAGCTGAATCAGTGCCTAAGCGCCCTGGGCGATGTTGATGTGATGTCGAGAACTGCGGATGATTCGAGGTCAAGGAAGACACACGGATTCTGTGCGTCGTCAAAAGAAGCAGGTGCGTTCCTCATTCTTTGCGAACCTTCTCGGGTGCTGTCAAACAATTGACGCTACCTCTGAGGTCGGTTGCTGTTGGAAATGCCGTTCGACGTTCGGCCCGCTCTTCTAGTCACACTGCAGCCCGCCCGAGCGACTTCCTAGGTAGTCTCCCTCAACCCAGTCCGCTGACCATCCGAGGTTTTCCTCCTTCCATCTCATCGGTTTCAGGCAAAAAGCTTTTCTGCCGTCCCAGTCAGCAGGGATATCTTCAGTCTTCGCGAACGGTTTCCACGGTCATCCCGTCTATTCATCTTTCTACCTCTTTTTGCACCCGATTCCTCTCCGCGCTCTTGCTTTTGGTGCTCCTGCCGCGCGCCTACTCTCCGCTTTCAACGACGGCAACCGCCAGCGCTCGCCGCCACATCCACGAGATGGCCAGCCAACTGAACGGCAGCCAAGGCCTTGGGCAACGAGATTTCCTTTAGGAATGGAATCTGAATCCCGACCGCACAATGTGGCAACTCGAGCGCCAAGAGTTTCTTCGCTTTCTGAATCATTTCGCGCAGACTTACCCTGCTTCCAACGCCGACCCCGCACTCGTGGCCAACTGGTTCGGTCAGATCCTTGCCTTCCGGAACACACACGAACCCAATGCACTGAGGATCTGGTTCAATGGAGCTCGAATGCAGTCCATCGTCGCCCGCCAACTGTCCGAGTACCTGCGGTCACGAGGATATGTGTTGGCCAGCTTGACGTTCATCGTGAACGACGTAATGGAAGCTCGGGTAAGTATCTGCGAGCCTGTTGTCCTCTCCCTCCCGACTAACAGTGGCCTGATAACAGGGTCTCTCTCATCGTCTACTTCAAGATCAACGCCGAAACCAAGCCTCCGAAGACCACCGTCAGTTGAGCAGTCATGTCAACGCCCACCACCGAGGCCGCGAGCCAGCTCAAAACCACGTCCGAGCGACGTTTACTCCTCCCTACCTTGCTCACGAACGAGTTAAAGGCAACATGCAAGCTTCGAGCCTGATCCAAGGTGATGTTAGCGCTCAGCAGAAGAGGTCGGAATCGAGGGGGACGCGTGGCCCAAGAAGGGAACAAGACTCCCAAACAGGACTATGTACGAATTCGACGCCGTGCTAGGGATGGCATGCAGAAGAAGGGCCAAGCACAACCGCACCGAGATCTCCACATAAAGCCAAGACCACGCACGACGCAACTGGGAGCTAGCCTGGTTTCCAGATCAGACGCAACCACGGTAGTCTCGGGTAGCGAGTCTTCCACTCGAAGAAAGGGCGGTTGATTCTGTGTTGTTGCCGCTGTCCTTGCCTTGGCAGTCGTTCTGTGTTGCTGGGCTATGCGCCCGCAGCCTCTTTAAGGTTACCTATACCGGGAGAGAGGGGCTCAGCTGCTTGGAGATATGAGCTTCATCCGCCGTATGATGACTTATATGGATCATAGTACCCCGTGCGGCGTGCATGTACATTCGTTGTGGCAGCTGAGTAACTGATTGTGTAACAGTCAAGGGCTTGGGCACACCCGGCCGGATTACTTGAGAAGCTAGAGCGGAGAGAGAACAAGGAATCATGTTATATCAAATGAATTTGCAAAAGGAAATGGGATGGAGGAACCGGCAAATGCTACAGGTGTTGACGAAGATGTATGGCTATTGCTCCACAGATTGATAAACGCGTCATTATACTGCTAAGTTGACTCACTTCACTGACAAGTGTTTTGTCTTGCCTCGGAGAGATAAATACTCTATGTGGACAGTCTATCATGGGCTCCGGTGTCGGTTCCCGGATGAGCTTACAGCTGTCTCCCGAGTTTGCTTCCAGATTGGCCCCCAACGATGACCTGACCATTTCAGACAGCGTAAATCCGAGTCTACACGTGGTCTCTAATCCCGTTTCCTCCAGCTCCGCCCCTACCTGTTTGTAGCATACTGTTGCGATCCCCATCTGCTATGAAGGGTCGATTTGAGGCATTCACCTATGATCTAGCTCATTTGCAACTTCAAATTGAACATTCTCCTGCCTATATACGACAGCTACGTGCCAATCTTAGGATCTAGAAAACAAACCACGCGGATAAGAATCACGACCGAAAGACGAGTTTAGACTTAAAGAATACAAGGACAATTCGAACACGAACGCCCTCGCCAGTTCGTGCCGAACGCCGGGTTTCCACCACATTCTCATCGGATTCTAAACAGGACCTCAAGACGTCTATACTGACGCTGAGAGCGTTGAGGAACTTTGTGAGGGCATTCGTGCTGGAGCAGCCTCAAAGTCCCACATTCCATCTGAACTCTTACATCTCCAATCCTGCCCTCGTCTGTTCCCGCATGCTCCCGTCAGCTGCGACCTTGGAGCAACCTTGGGTTTGAGCTTGAGCCCAAATGACCTCAAGCCGCACCAAGCGTCGTGAAACTCTCGTAAAGCTCCAGTCAAGTTGAGCCATTATCTATTGCCTGTGTTAAGAGATCTGAGACGTCGGCTAGATAAGGCAGTTTCCTCCATCATCTGACAAAAATGAGGTTGTTAACTCGTCATCTTGGTAATATCCTTTCTCTCTATACCGGGTACTTCTCTAGTAATATCCTTCATTCGTGCAGTGTTAGACCCGCGCTGATATTGAAATCTGTTATATAATTCTGCAGCCCGCAACTATCCCGTTGCTAACTCGCTATGCCCTGTTTCAGTATAAAAGAACTACACGATCACCAAATATCGGAAGACATAAGATAAATATAGACATCGTCTGTCATAGTTTCTCAGTACGCAAACGTGTTTCCAACCAGATTTTCATAGCTCAAAGCTGAGGGTTAATAGTAAGTTTGTAAAACCCGTTGATGTAGCTGTTGCTAATAGGTCTGGCGAGCGAATCGAGACCTCCCTTGCACCTCATCTCCTCCATTAGTAAAACTTTTATTGAGAAATCCTATCCATGTTCTACATGTATGTGAGCCTGCTAGACTTTATATTTCAGTTGTTAAATTGCCTCTTAGCGGTGAGTACTGACGTAACTGTCTCGCTATGAGATCAGCACGAAGGAAACCAGATCAGGAAGCTCAAGTGGGCATTGAAGTATGAATACTTACTGAGTACCTATCAACTGGGATGATGGCGATCTCTTCACACTATCAACAAGGTACTCTTCTCTTCTAAAAGTCTGAGTGACGATTGTAATACAGTCTTCTTCCCGTGACAGAGTTGACGGAGCAGCCTACGATTAGTCATAGAGAATCCTACGAAAGCTGCGTCGAAGTCCCGCCAAAGCACCGAGAGCGGCCTCCCGACGTTGTAGTTGCGTAGTCTCTGCCGGTTGATGGTGCATTCTGACACTGCTGCTGCCGTGTAAGCAAAGACTACCGACAGCTTTCTAAAAACCCACTCTTCAACGGAAGTTCTTGCATTTCGAGGAGGCTAAAGGGTCATAAACGACCACCACAGCCGTCGATATGGTTATGGAGACCACTGATACCATCGCGACCAGCAATGCAGCTGTCCGCGTCGCGGTTTGAATTCCAAATGATGCAGCCATCGTGGGAACTGGATGCAGACGAGCAAGTTGCTCGGCTTCCAATCAATATCTCCCATAAAACAGCCATAGCTAGAACAGCATGTGGAATTGCATTATCCAGATCTATCTTCATTAGGTTCTTCTAAGACTTCTTTACAGCTGGAAATCAATTCTAGCGGGGTTGCAGTGTCGCTGTCACGACGAGCTCTGCAGCAGAACCCTTCGGGTGCCCCATTATTTCCCCGGACACACCGGCCGCCATGTGGGGCCGAACTCGGCGCCTATCGGGAATCCAAAAGATTCAGTTGGGTTCTTGACAATTCCCCAGCCGCTTTTCACACAAAGAGTCAGAAGCACTTTCTGTTCAGTACACTGAAGCGACTTAAGCAGCAGCGGCAGAAACTAGGTGTTGTGGTCCGGTCCGCGTTCTCCGGTCCGCGGACTCCGCCAGCTGAATAGCGGCATAACCGACATCTGAATTCAGCAATGACAGAAAGGAAGTGGGACTGAGAATCAGATGCATGTGTCCAGTATACTAGTGACGGTCTTCCCTAAGCAGATATCGTTGCTATTTATCTAGGTCTAGAGGAAGGCTTAGTAGATGAGACTTTAGCTATTAGTAGTTGTGGTTTGTGAGTTAGCGATATGATTTATTATGTGTGCCGACTAACAGCATAGGGCGGAATGCCGTGGGAACTGCAGCAAATGTAATAAGCCGCACAATATAATATAGCTACCCTTATAATCTAGTTATAAAAAAATTACTATATCTAATAAGTATATATTTAAAAGAATATACTAAGTATCTTACTAGTTATAGCCGCTAGCTAACTATAATCTTTATAAAGTTGCTTCTTATAACTACTACTATTAATATTTACTAGAAGAATGAAGGGTATAATAACTTAATTAATTTAATTATTAAGTCTTTAAATCTAATATATCTATTAAGTTCTATTTATTTAGTTAACCTCCTCTATTTTACTACCCCCTCTATATTATTATTAGTAATAGTCCTTTTAATTTAGTTTAAGTATTATTATTCTATTTTATTAGTAAATATCTTTAATATTTTAATTTAATATTAATTAACTTATTATTTAGTTTAAAATAAATTTAAAATATATCTATAATAGATATTTAAATTATTCTTTATACTAAAAGCTTATAAACTTAGCTATAATATTAATTTATATAAGGGATACTTATAGCTAATATATCTCTTTAGAAAAGTAGTTATTATATAGAATATATATTTTAAACTATATAAGCTAATAGATCTTATTATTTAATAACTTATTAGGGTTTTAGAATAAGTTAACTAATAAGCTATAATTCTTAATAATAGCTTTAGTTTATAAAGAGTCTAAAAATATTAGCTTATTAATAGAGATATAATAACTAAAAGGTTAGGGAATAGTCTATAGAAACTAAATAGTCTCTTACTCTATATTATAGCTAACTAATATATATTATTATTATTATTACTACTTTTAATATTATAATAAGTTTAAGTTAATAATATTATAAAAAGAATAAATCTTTAAGACTCTTATTATAACCTTAATTAGTTTTTATTTATTATTATCTATTTAATATAACTTATATTATAAAGTTTTTAATAACCTTATTAGCTAAAGCTATTATCTATTTAATATAACTTATATTATAGAGTATATATTAACCTTAATAGATAAATACTCTATTAGCTAAAGCTATTACTATTAATATTACTATTTAATAATCTATTTAGTAGCTATAGAGATTCTACTTATTATTATATAATACTATATATTAATATAGGTTAGAGATACTATTAATACTTTATATTTTATTGCTTTTTATACTAAGTAGATATAAGAGCTATATAAAGCGTAAGCTATATAATAAACTAAATAGTATCTCACTAGTCTCCTATTACTTCTATTCTCTTTTATTGCCTTAATATATATATACTATCTAGACGTTAAATACGTAATAGTGCCTCCTTTATAAGAAGTTTACTATCTTTACTTAATATATCTATTAGGCATTAAGAACGGCTTAAAGAGGGTTAAGTGGGGCGTAGATAGCTAGTAGAACCACTATATAAATAATACTGTGCACCTTTAATGCCCTCCTAAAACTATAGAGTCTAGTTCTAGCGGTTACTTCTACTAGATCTTATATCTAAAACTAGTTATCTCTAGTCGTCTATAGCTGTCTAGGCTAACCTAGCTTACTTATCCTTATGTCTAATGGGGGTATAAGACCCCTATCCAGCATAGAAACTAGCTCTACTGCTTATTAGTCGCTAGGCCCTATATAAGGCGTAGACTATAATTCCTATTACTATTAAAAGCGGACGCTTCTATAGCTATTTCCTTAAATGTG